ACATTAAGACACACACACTCCATACTTGTGCAACTCAACCATATTCAATACATTGCCTTTCTCCTCACTTACCAAAAAAAAAAAAAAAAAAGCATCCCCCAAACATTTCTGATCATATAAAGCTTTACAGAAAGGTTTCTTAAAATGTTACTGTCTTATATAGCTCATTGTTATTATGTATTCTTCTCAACATCAGAGGAAGCTGAACTTATTCTATATTTAAGGAGGTGCTTTGTTTCTCTCCAATGAGAGATTACATTCCTTATCCCACTACAGTTTTCCCCATTTATAAATTTGGTGTTTACACCAATCCTCCCCCAGGCTTAAAAAAAATAAGGGTTGGCACTAAATTAAAGTTTTTGGCTCCTGTAACTAAAATTAAGGCTCACAATGCATATTATTTCCATTATTTGTGTCCCATTTTTTCTTACCTATTGAAAACACCAGCCCTTAACCTACAGRCACTGGATACATTCTTAAATCATAGAGGGCTATTTTGGCTCACGTTCTCCTACCGTTCTGTGAGGTTCAGAAGACAACTTTCCAAGCCTGMAAACAGCATTTTTTTTTAAAGCTACCACAGCTGTAATTTTCAGATGATTTAATGTCTTTAGAAAAAAAAAAAATCACTAGTAATCCTGAATCAAGAGAGATTGGGACATTAACTTCATCAGATCCTTACTCTTTATGTATGTGAAAATAGGCTAGGTGATTGATTTTAATTTGGAAGTTTAGCCACAAAAGCAATGAAAACTTCACAATTCTGAACGGTTGCAGTTCTTAATAGTAAAAAGGCATGTGACACCTGAAGCAAATCTAGCTGCACAGACATCGCTGACCACACCCTAACTTTAATTTAAACTGGACCTCTTCCCAAAAGAGAAACTTAACACAGTTTCTTGAATGGAGGGAAGCTAGTGTGAAAGGCAGAGGCAAGTATTTTGCTGTTGTTGTTGTTGTTTGTTTTCCTTATAAAGTCACTGCATTAAGATCCAGATCAGTTTAGGGGTGTAAATGAAGGGAGAATAAGGGTGTTTGAGTAATATAGGCTAACACTGTTCTAGATGTGTTATTACAGCTGTAATTTCTGACTCTGTACAAATTGTACATGTAGGTTTAGACACATGAAAAAGTAACACACTCACAGAGACATAAAACACCTAAGTATAAAATATAAAGCAGTGTAGTAGTTACTAAAATTACATGCTCTCTTATTGCTACAGTGATTTTTGCTCTTTTTCTTTTTACTGTACCACATGTTGTTCTAAGCATATAATTTGCATAAATTATTCAAGTTTAAGAAAAATCCACACATCTTCACTTTAAGCTACTTATATAGTTAATATAAAACAAAAAGGTTCTAAAGTATCTCTTTATTAAAAGAGAAATAAAAATGTCACTTGAAACTGGAATTCAGTGGCCAAATGCAAGGGCAGTGCACACCTTGTCACTCGGGTAGTATTATGCCCACGCGGTGTAAGTGGAGGTTGGTGGGGTATTCGGCCCAGTCTAGAGATGSTCACCAGACCTGCATGATGCCCTACGTGTCCGTTATTGTTCTGTTTGTCTTTAGCAAAAAGGACTATGAATGACCAAAGACTAACATTTATAATTTGTAGCAAAATTTGGTTTATGTAGAAACAAGCCATGTTTTGCATTTGGATAGAGATTTAAATGAATTAAAGCTAAAAATTAAAAAGCATGATGCTGCAACATCTGGTCACTTGTTGAAGACCTCACTTTTAAAGTGGTTAAGTTTGCACAATTTGTACTTTTTTTTCTTTTTTTTTTCCTTTTTTCTTTTTTTTTTTTTTTTTACTAAACAGTATTTTTCCTTCTTTATAAACCAGAAAAACTAAACTACAGATAAATTTTCCCTACCTTGAGCTAGTGCTGCAGATAGGGTTGACAAAGCTGTACAGCGCAATCAAACATACTTACATCTTAGCTCATTGTACAGGTACAGCCATAATCAAGGCACAAAGATCTTCTACAAGTTATTTTTTTCAATAAAGTTGTACAAAATAATACATTTTACAGTCTGTACAAGAATAATAATCCAGCAGTAAAATAAAAAATGAGGGGAGGGAAGAAGAAAAAGAAGGGAAAGACTGTGAGGACTACAGTCCAGATAATGATTTTTATAGCAGACGGGATCATCAGTGGACAAACTGAAAACAGTGTGTGGTTAACTCTTTCTGCAATCACAGGCTATACGCAGTTCAATTCATAAATGTCCGTGGTTGTCTTAAGACCACCAAGACTGGATTTAAAAATACCCTTCTGAAAGGTAGCAGTTGGTTTTTGCACTGTCTAGGTCTGTTGTAGAATTGTCAGTATTTCCGTTCAAAGCCACATTACAGTCAGAGAACCAAACTCAATTGTCTGTCTTCAAACTTGGTCTGTGACTTGGCACCTTCTTTTGTCTGATGCAGTGAATGGTACAAAGTAGAGATCACGGGTTATATGATTATGCCCACAACAGTGCTAGATTACCTAAAGTTTTTTCTCCCCAATTTTTGTTTATGCTTTAAATTTTTATCCCCAATTCTTTCAGGTGTTCCACATTCAGGGCTTCTAATTAATTAAGTTTTTAAATTTCTTTTTGCCTTTTTTTTTTTTTTTTTTTTTTTTTTTTTTTTTTTTTTTTTTTTTTTTTTTTTTTTTTTTTTTTGGTTAATAACAGTGTTAGGGAATCCTCATGAAAATGGCCTTTAAGTGTTAGGGGCCATCTCAAACTGTCCGAGGGGAACAGAAGCAAGCTTAGAAGTGCTGCTATTGTCCAGCAAGGAGAAGAAGTTGAGGGGTGCAAATCAATGGGAGATTCAAACAGTTCTCTTCCACCCTATGTGGGCAAGGGTGTTTTTTTTTCTTTCTTTCTTTTCTTTTTTTCTTTTTTTTTTTTTTTTTTTAATAAGGATAAGGAGTCCAAAACACAGAAAAAAGTGCTCTCCATCACAACAACTCGTATTGGCGAAGGTGCATGCGCTGAATAATGTCCCGACAGTCATTGAAAACCCTCCGGATGTTCTCTGTATCCACTGCACATGTGAAGTGGGGATAGCAATAGTGCCTTCCGTCTCCACTTGCTGTGCTGATTCTCTGTTAAAGTAAGAGAGAGACTGTGTTAAAATAAAACTGACTGAGGAAAACAGCAACTACCACACAACTTTATGACACCTCAGGTGAATGACAATTAGATATGTATGTGTGAGCTTTGTTTTYGGAAGGGGCAACTACATGTCAAAAATGCTCATTACTTCGCAAGAGTCTCTCACCTGAATCAATAAAATTAAGAGAATTACGTGGAGAGGAGGTCACCAAGTTCTGGAAAATTACAGAGTTGAAAGAGAATCATGGAAGTGCTATTATTTATATGCAGCTATGGGAAATTTGTGCACACATCTATCTAGTAGTCAATTTATCCATATAGAAAGTGTGACTCTGCTCACTGCAAAAACTTTTTTGGCCTGTTTTATAGTTAACAAAATTCCTCCCTCAAAATTTTCTTTTGTTCCAATGTAAACCAGTCCCCAATTTGATTGTCACACTATTACAACCTATATCTGTTATAGCTTCAGCTGACCAATAATGGTAAACACATTATATGAACAGCACATTAATATTTACCAAATACCACATCTTTTAATTAATCTTTAATTATCTTTGTAATTGATGTATGGAATAAAATCTGACCCCCATTAGTAACAGCAGGACTTCGTTCACTATTCCCTGTTTGAGGTTTATGAACCCTCACCAATTCTTTTCTTACTGACTCAACAAATACAGAGTAGCTAACAAACAGCTGCAAAGCTTTTAAGCCTAGTTTAGTGTTTTGTGCAGTGCAGACACTAAATGGAAGCAACCTAAGAAGTAACAGCAGTTTTCATAACATTAGGAGATGCTTAGGGTTATGTTTGARAAAAATCACATATGAAATACTGAAGGAAAGGAAATACTTACAAGAAACTCATCTCTAATAAAATACTTGGCCCTTGTAACTCTGGGATCCTCACCAGGCTCTGGTGTTGCTGATTAATGATAAAATGAATATCTCATTAAAACAGATGTTTCATGGTGATAGCTCCTAAAAATGTTTCTGCTCACATGCGATAGAAGCACACTATAGAAGCACCCTGCAACACTGACTACGAGATACAGCAAATCGTAACYGATTACAGAAAGCAGCAAGATTAGAGGAGAACAAAAGGATATTACAGTGCCCATAACACCAGACCTTTGTTGGATTAGAAAAATGCCTACAAATATGGCTATCCACAGGCAAGACCAGAGGACATCTTTGTGACTAGTGGGTGTCACACTGCCATTACTTGGGAACAGTACTAGTGAGATTCAAGATAAACTATCACAATAAATGAGCCTATGTAGTACAGTTCTGTGAGACTGACACTTCATTACAGACTCCTATTTAAATTATCACTTTGTTGCAACCACCTGTGACATATGCTAACAAAATCAACCTTGAATCTCATCTCTCAAAGATCACTGCTGCATCTCTGCAATAGCACTGGCATGGGCTGTATGTAGTCTGCTAGCACAGTAATAGGATCTTGGCATGATGAAATCATTAATATATTCAATGTACAAAAGACAGATTTTTCTCATGATAAAATAAACAATAGTTAACAGGACAGTTTTGCTGAAAGGCACTTAAAATTATTACTACTCAGTTCTATCTTAACTGAAATTGCTRAAGATATTACAAATGTGATTAACGAGAAAATGGTAAAACTGCTGAAAGAACTTATAAACAACACCTTACCATCATCTGGTGTAGTGTAGCGAGCAAATTCTGGAAAGTAGTCTTCGATTTTAGATTTCCCTGCCAAAACTTTCTCTGCTAGCAAATCTTGTTTATTCAGGAAAAGAATTACTGAAATGGTCCGTAGCCACCTATAGAAAATTGAGGCCAAACACTGTGAGAAGACATATCTAGGATTAAATTGTAAAAAGAAACATAATCCAGTACTGAAAACAGCATATTCACATCACACACTAACAAATTCGAACAGTTCCTCTCCTACTCAAATTTACTACTATATCATTGCCTTGTTACTGTATCAAGGATGAGGCAATTAACTGATTTGTAACTCTCCAGAATTTTCTTTCATCAGACGATTTTATTATATGTTAATGTTACAGGTGGGCAGCTGTGGAAAAAATGCTATCTGTGACTGTGTTGTGAGAAGCAAAGAAAATAGATTACTCTGTAACAAGGCTTTACTATATACTACTACATATATAATTTACTAGTAATTTAGATATGAACAATGAAACTTGAATTCACAGACCTGTTGTTCCAGATACTCTTGAAGAGGTTTAGTGCTTCTTGAAGCCTATTGGTCTGGTTATCCTCTCTTATGACCATGTTGTAGCTACTGCTGGCCACCACAAATATGATAGCAGTCACATCTAAATCAAGAAACACCTATCAGTTAGTACCAAATTTCACTCCAGAAGAACTATCCAAGAATCCCAGAGTTCAACAAAGCTGCCACACATTTAGCTTCACTGGGAGAACAGTCTGGGATGCTACTACTTCCTGCTTATACACAAGATATAAAGGGAGTGGAGAAGTCATTAAAGACAGAAAAGAGGCCAGAGAACACAGCTGATCCAATGACAGTAGCTATAGAAGGGAAAGGAATAAAAGGCAGAGAAAGAAATCAAAGAAAACAAACAAGAGGTTTTAGAAGTGTCAAGGAGTTTAAAATACAGCACTGGCAGAATCAAGACGACACACAGTGGTCTGTAATGGAGTGTCCAGGACAACAGCACTTTTGATTCATATTGACAGTAATATTAAAATTAGCAGATCATGGGGATTTATGTCTAATTGCCCTATTCCTCCTAGTATGTGCTCCACCTCTCACAGGCCCCTGTCTTTCAGGGAGATATTTACAGGGTCACAGGCACTGGGATGCTGGGATTCTGTGCTGCTCCAGAGCCCTCAACACTGACTTCTGAACTCCTCTGCTACAGACATCAACAGCACGAGAAGTGAGTCAGATCAGGAGGTAACAGGAAGAGGAGGGAGCAGAGTGAAATCAAATAAATCTGCTGTTAGTAGTGCAGAAGAAAATACTGCAGAACAGTTCCACATATGTCTGAAGTGCTCAGATGATGCTTTGCAACAGGAACTGTAGCAAAAAATGAGAWTTCAAGTTGCATTCTATTTTTTCTATAGGATCTCATAAATTATTTAAGAAAAACAGAATTTTGCATAGTTTCCTAACTATTTTGCACATATCCAATAAAAAAAGAAAATGTAAAACATGTTAATTAGCCCTAGCTTTATGTAGCTTTATGAATACTTTCATGGTAAAAGATTTCATGCACCACTTTGCAGAGTTAAAGGGCAAACTGTATATCTCTAAGGAAGGTAGATGCAACACTGCAGAATACAAACAAAACTAGTTTAAAACACATGGGGAGTTAGTAGCATAATCATCTAAACTAAACAGCCTCTAACCTCTCTGTGAACATTCCAGATCTTACAAAACACATTCTGAGCTTTCTATCTCACTCACATTTAGTTAGGTGCCACATCAGCGATTAGCAATCTAAAAAAATGAGCTTACATGCAGGTAGTTAGTGTTTTTGTACAACTGTATGTTTTCAGGAAGGACATTCCCCTGAATGCTATTTCTGAAAAAATGATATAAATATGCACGACACTCCAGAAAGGTGTAGATTTATATACTTCAGTGTAAAATCTTTTTACAAGAGCATTTAGGAGCTACATATACAATACTGTAGTGTATCATATGCTATAGACCAGGCTTTACGTGAAAGGACTGATGTTTCCTACCATCTCACACTAAATTGATGGGTTGGTGCTATTTGGAAAGAAGTACCCATGAGATAGCAATGTGGCTGCAATTATACATAATAATATGACATTCTTATTTTACACTACACAACAGTAGCTATAGTGTCATTATAGATATTATGTATGCACAAATTATATATATTATGTATGCACAGATACATGTATATCTTCACCTGGAAGAATGTAACCTGGAAATCAACATTTACATAGCTGGCCAATAATGTGTGTGCACACAAACACTCACACACAAAACCTAAATGAAAGGAGGAAGTTTCAGCAGATGTAAAACTGTTAATTCATCAGACTCAATTTCCTTTCTCTGTACATTCTCCCTAAGGATGCTCTGTGCAGTAACAGAAATTTGCATGTTAAGAAAGCTTCCAGCTAGTGTAACTGGTCAGAGAATCCCTCAAGCTACATGAAAAAGTAAATGGTTTTTGCATGGTAAGAGAATTAAAAGTGGACATTAAAAGTTTGCAGAGAACTATGCAGAAATAAACATAAATTCTGATCTTACCATTAAAACACTGGATCCATTTTCGGCGTTCATCTCGTTGCCCTCCAACATCAAACATACTAAGAAAAAAAATCACAAATCTGAGATTGCATTTTTTTTTAAACAAATACAACATCACAACATATCATCAGAAGTTTTAGGACTTCTGTGTCCTAGAAGCTAAAAAGATAAAACAGTAAGAAATTCCGGTGCAGGCATGATATACTGTCGCTTTGCCTCTATAAACTAGGAAGACCATGAGGAAAAGGTCCCACAACAAGTCATTTATTGAAATGGCTACCACAGCTGTAATGTCAACAAGATCAGTCGAAAATTCAGCAATGTATAGTCAGTCAGATTAAGTGATTTTTGTAAACTGGAACACTACAGATAGCACGTGTTCTCCATTCCTCTGATAATGTAAAAAGGTTTTGGTCAAATATTTCCCTATGTAAACTAGTAGTGAATCAAATACTCTGGAAATGCATTAGCAAGAACAGATTAACATATTTCTTTGCCATCAGAATTAAAAATACAGGCCATTTTGTATGTTTTAGAGCATGCTTGCTAAATTCAAAGCTCAGAAAATATTTGTGTTCTACTAAATGTCAGTTTTAGAAATACAAAAGAAATCTTAAGAATTACAGGGTAGTCTCTCTTCCAGCTTGTTTCCTTTTTTGTCCTGGCATTTTTTCTGTGTTATACAGGTTCAGAATATATATATGTAGAATACATATATATGTATGTGTGTGTTTTAAGAAAAGGAGTATACTTACTGAAAATTTACTTTGTCCACCTGAAACTTGGTTTCAAAAATTCCTGATGTCAAAACTCTGCATCTGAGTAGATCCTAAGCATAAAAGAAGTGTCACAAGGTTTGCAGAAATATGTGTGCTCCACTTAAAAGCACAATTATTTTCATAAGCAAGTTGTTAAGGGCCAAGCTTGAAAGAGAAGGGACCATCTGTGGGCCACTTATACAAAAGTTTAGGAAGGTTCAGGATGACCCTGGGACATTAGAAATCTGCAGACACAGCTTTCACTGAGACTGAGGAGCACAACTGGATCTTTAACATACACCAGCCAGTACCCAACCTCTTCGGAGCTGCAAACAATTGAAAAGGTTACCAATCTGTCACAAAATCCTACCACAACCCAATGGTATTGGCTGCTGTAAAGCAGTGACAGTCGTTTAAAATGCCTACCTGTTAATTAATAGAGAAGAAACTAATTTGTACAGGTAAGTAATTTGTACMCTGTAAGTATGACCTTTTACAAAATACCTCTTTGAATTCAACTGAAGAGTTTGTAATTTAGGACTCAAAAGTTTCAGTGTTGCTCACAATGGATTCAAATAGCAGCTAAACTGTAATATTTGCAACACCGACACAAGAACATGTAAATGGCATAGGCTGTAAAAAAAATATGTACAATATAAGCTCTGTTCTTATTACATAGGTATCAAACTGGTTAGTCAAAGTCAAAACCACACAAAATCCAAAGGTTATACAACACTGTTAAATCATTAAACAAAATGGCTATATTTTAACATCAGTTTTCTGATAGTAAACTATTGYTGTCTAACTATTTAATCCTCTTATATTGAAATACAGATAAAACATAGTCTTAATGTGATCTACTCGTTTGAAATAGTTTTAAATTTCAAATGCCCCAATAATCAGAAATACATTTGGAAGACTGGATTCTCTTTAGCTCAGCATCTCTAGAAATCAGTAAAAGCATAAGGAAAAAGAAAAATGTTCAACCAGCTCAAGCAAAAAAAGAATGTTTACAGTGGTAAGAAAAAGACTAATTTATATGAAATTCAGATATTAAAATGTGCATGCTTTATTTATTCTCAAAGGTCTTAACAAAGATATAAGCTTTTCTGAGTGTTTGGTTAAAATGTGTTTTTGGTTAAAATGTTATTTGGTTATTTATTCCATGGAAGCATGCTACATATTGCATACTTCTTAACTGGACTAACTGAGCAGAAGATTAGCAATACATGTGTAGTTTTGGATTAGCATTTTGGATTTAAGAAAATTCTCAAATTATCAGTAACAAAATGGAGATTACATTTCCTACTGTTATTCTTATAAAACTAAAATTCTTCTGACATCCTTCTAGAAAACTTTTGACAGAGCCATCTTTAAAATATCCTCTTCTGTTAAACCTTGTGGAGTCACTTAACTAACAGTTGAAATTTACAGAATTCCACAGAGGTCAAAATTTGCTTTCTGCAAATGAGGCTTAGATAACACTAAGGAAAAATTAATATTCAGATAACTATCATTTGCATTCAAAAAAGCCTATTTTTATGTATGCTATTTAGTGAGTTGAGAAGCTGTTCTCCCCTGAAGGTAAACAGAGTCTTGCCCTTTTCCYTGCTGATCAAAGACGGACATTTCTGCTCCTTGAGCTCTTACTCTGGAGTTTGCAGTCCCCTAACACAACCAGATCCGTGTGCTTTGAGCACAGTGTTTAGTTACTGCTAACAGTGACTACATTGGTCCCGACTGCATTTGTAAAGGATGCTTAAGTTAAAGTCTTTAATGACAAYTGCCTTTAATTACAAGGCTCACTATACTTGAGAAGAATCTGGCCTGCAGAAAGAGAGGTACTGACAGACTTGCACCTGCTCAATTGCTATTTGTTAGTCCTCTTATTCATCAGAAAGTGTATGTGAAAAGGGGTGCAGTTATTTTTGTGAATAATGTATCTTCCTGCTTTTTAGAAATCTGGCTTAGTGGGACTCAGAAAATGCCAAACAACTTCACATTAAAGGAAAGAAATAACAGTTATTCGGCAAGATGGACAAGGATTTAGAAATCAATCATTCAGATTAATATTTGATGTGTACTGTTGCAGAAATCTGACAAGTCTTAAATTTGCACAGAGTTTAGTTTCATAGCACATTGTCACTTGGGTTGAAATCATGCTTGCACAAGTAAAAGTTAATTTTTCCTGGCATAACTACATACAGTACATGATAATAAACTATGGTCAGAAACAGCAATTGCAAAGCCAAGACAGAGGGTACAGAAAAGTTGTGTGATTTCTTAATGAAGCTCTACTTACCTGGTCAGACGGTGTATACTCATTTTGTTTGACTATGTCAATCTTGTCTAGGAAACTGGGAAGAGGAAAGAAAAAACAGTTTTTACTTTTCAAATCAGACAAGCTATCTAAAGCTTGATTAACTGACAAGTTTAGTTTAGTAACTGACAGGTTTCCAGAGAGTGGTGGGGACACTGTAATACATTCAGCTCCACAAAATGCTAAATACACTGAAGTTATTTAACATATGTACTCTAGCACTAATTTAAAACCGGCATTGCTGGCGCTTCCTAGCAGCAGCCAGCAGAGGGCAAATTCACCGGCTTATCGACCAAGGCTGCTCATCCCATTGCAAGACCCTCCTCCTCCCCCGTTAACAGACATGCAAGTCAAACTTGGATAATATTTTCATATAACTGCTAACAGTAAAACAGTGGCTCAAACTGCCCGCATGTAATTTCCCTGAAAATAAGATGAATATTTTTTCAAACATATCTTTTCTATAGTTAAAACTTAGTTAAAGATGGTACTTTGGGGTCTTTACCATGTTTTTAGCAATTAGCTGTATTCTTCTGATTACCTATGATCTTATTTTAAAGAACAACAACAACAACAAAATCCCCCCACGGAACCGATCTGTTGAATCTGTTCTCACACTGCGCTACAACGAAACTCAACGACGGGGCAGAACAGGGTTCCGGAATCCGGATTCTCTGCAGGATGCAGAGCCCCCAGTCAAGCTGTTCTGATCCAGGCATGCTGCACGGTGCCCCYGTGCTCAGACACCTTCCATTTTAGCGTTATTAGGAGACTTGGCAACGCTTCTGCAGTCTGCTCTGCTGGTAACATTAATGATTAATCACAGCCCTAACACCAATATACTTTAAGAGTCCTTTCAAATTCCTCAGCCTGAATTCTTTTCTTCATAAAGCAGGAATCAATGAAAAGATGAATTTTCCCTTCCCATCTCTATACATGAATAGGTTTGTTATTTGTTTCATACTTGCACAATTTCTAATACATTAAAATGTATCTTAATGAACATGCTAATAAAAAAATACAACAAAGCCTAAAGATCAATTTCCATCAAGAAAGGTGACATGGAGACAGATGCACAATGACAGATATAAAAGACAAATCGATGACAAAGTTTGTACTGCAATTAGCACACTAGATTTTTCTCATCATCTCTTCCAAGCTAAGTAATACTTTTTTTCTAATCAGAAGGAAAAAAAGCTGAGCTTTTTGTTCAGTACAGAGGATACTAAATGTGTACGACAACCATGAACCGCAACTAGAACAGTTTCTTCCAAATTCCAAATACTTGTTCTAAAGTATTCTCTCTTAAAATCACAGTTTAAGAATCGTGTGGTGATAAAATACATTTCACAAGCTGGAGGACGCTTGAAAGATGTTCAAAACGTAACATGTTCATAAAGATTCAAAGGTGATTACTATAATGTCCCTGCCTTTCTGTATTGCATTTTTCTAAGCATAACATTTTACGCAAGGTTCCATGAGAGGCGGATTTTTGTTTCTGTTTTTTTTCTTGTTGTGTTTTTAAACACTCCACTAATCAGCTTAATGGATTTTGGAAACTGACAATTAGAAAATAACAACAAGATATTGCTAAAACCTGGAACTGAAAGTACAAGCCTCTTACTGTTGTTTATGCAGACTATTTTTAGGCCTATGATTTCCTTGAAAAACATCAGCCACATAGGAGAAGCAGTACTGTACTTGAGATGAATTCAAATAGCAACATTCATGCCAGGTAAAACAAGCTCGGACGGCATAAACATGACTTCTTCCCCCCCAAACAAGTCCTAGCGTTCAGGACCATCTGCTGCTCCAACAACACCAGCTCAGGAAGAGCCTCTCACTGCAGGAGAGTTCGAACCTGCGCTGCTTCCACTTGCACGTCAGGCAGAGGGAGCAAAGCAAAAGGCTGCAGGAGGATTTCCTCCTGTGCCCACCCCTCGTCATAAAATCTGCTCTTGCTACTTTAAAAAGCATTAGGGACTAAATAAAGCAATTATACTTTTTGCACCGACACAGGGAAAGGGGTTCATTCCTCCAGTTCATCATCTTCAAAATTACTTTTGTTTGGAAGGAAAAAACAGCAAAAACGCCTAACCTGGTGCATCTAAAATAAAGTGCAATAGTGGGAAGGAAGGAGAATTCAGAAAAGATGAATACAGTATTTTCAGAGATTTATAAATCTCTGACCATCAGTCACCAATGAAATCTTTTTAAGTATATGATTTATCAAGTTAATGAAACTGATAATCAAATTAAATCAGAATAAAGGCAAATTGAAAATAAACACAAATTCATCATCAGAAATTTTCATTTTCAGTTATGTTCTACCCAAAATGTAAGTATCACTTTGCCTGCTGAATTCACTGGTGTTACAGACTGTGCTAGGTCTCTTGGAGATATGCCCACCTATGTCAGCAATGAATTTCATAGGAGAAAGAAAAGTCACCTTGGTGAAATAATTCAAATAAAACCATCAAATCACAAAAACAAATTTTATATTGAGAATAAGCCTTGCAACAAGTTACAAAGTCAGTCAACTTCTGCTGTAAATTTTTCCCAGAGATTATATGAGAAAGCTATTTTCCAGAAAGCAAAACATTCATCCAGCATCACTGCCAATCCCCACATAGGGCCAGATTCTGGACATGACTAAATAACAGGAACAGTTATTGCTCTGCAAAATACTGTCATCAAGTCAAAAGCACTTTTGCCTGTGTTATAAAAAAAAACAAAAAAGGACACTGCTAGGATGCATGTTAAAATGAAAAAGGTTTTAGATCATTTGTAGTCAGCTAAATTTGAAAAGCAGTATCCCTAGAACAGCAGCAGATGCATCCTTGAGATACTAAAATAAAAGAAGCTATGAGTAAAAAAWTAAGATCTGAAATAAAATGGGCTTTATTTTCAGGGCTCCTTCTTCAACGCAGGGAAGGAAAAAAAAACGTGAAATGTTTTGAAAACATGCACAAAAGCTCTCAACTATTCCCGCTAGGATAAATCATTAAGTCATACACATACCCCCATCTTTCCCAATTTTTAACAAGCCTTCTACTGTATCTCTCTTTTTCAGATCAAGATATACGCAAATTACCAATTCTTTCTGGAGTTTCAGAGAGAATTTAATTCCTGCACTGATAAATTCCTATACAGGGGGAGTTCAGTGAATCGACAGCGATGCTCCAAGATTTCTACAGTCTCCACTCGTTTCTTTCTAACTGAAATGGAACAGATAAACCTCCACCAAACAACAAAACTTAATTTTGAGCAGAACAGGACATCACCACATGACCAGAAAATGCCTATGTTGCCATTACTATTTTCCCTGCTAAAGAGATGGGGTAATTCGCTAGTCTTTTTAACTGTAATTGTGATTTGATTAAATGGCTGACAGGCAGTAAAAATTTTCATCTCGCTTCAGAGCAACTTTGAGTTTGAACGTGGGGTAACACTGGAAAGGTTTCTTCAAACAGACAACATATCTATACTATCAGATCTTGTTTTTTTCTGTCAAGCCATAACCTGAAATATATGCAAAAAAGCTCTCACGTGACATATAAGACCTCACCATTAGTATCAATAAGACATTACATATCAAGCAATTATTTTTTTCAGCCCTAATCATAAATAAAATAGTCAATGAAGATTTCCCTCACCAGCAGTGCTTGAACTCTGTACTGGTAGTTTCTGCCCTCCAAAAGCCTCCAGGTATTTTACAGACAGTAAATCACGCTCCCAGCTCCTGCCTCTCTTCATTCACACTGCATTTCCTGCCTCTACCATCACATCCTGAAGTGCACACCTCACTTTAACCCTATTTTAAAAGTAGGAAAATCAAGGCACACAAGGAGTAAATTAGTTGCCCCATGTCCCTTGAGTCAGTGAGAATGGAATTTTCACTTCCTCTGAGTCATGGGCTGTATCAAGATAGTGCTAAGAATTCAGCACGCTGTATTTACACTGATCACCTTTAAAGCAGTCCTCACAATTCAAGTTACTACATCTGAAAATTAATGCATTATTCATTTACCGATCTTCCTAGAGAACAAACTGTACAAATGTCTGGCAGATTTATTTATTTATACATGATTGGGACTACAAAACTGGGCTCAAGGCTCCCTAAAGTGTTTGTAAGCTGAAATTTAACCCAGCATTAATATTGTTTATAAACAAGAATGCAATTCTTTTATTTCTCAGAACAGAACATCCTTTACTTCTACTTTACTCCCTTTTTCTGTCTGTRCCATAATCTTTAACGTTACTCAGAAACAGCTCTCTAAAAGGCAAAACAGCTAACTATTTGCTAAATTGTTTCTTCAGCTACTTTATTTCTATAATATATTGTAACAAAAACTACAAAGTCAGAGGTATAGCACAGAAACAAAACAGTCTCTTTAAAAGGGCATTCCAGCTGAGAAATACACCATCCACGTCCTGTAACTTGAATGCAATTAAAAAGAAAAATCCCCCCAAAACCCTACATCAAAATAATTATAAAAAACCAAAACAGAAGTGTTTTCCAAACCCTGAAAAGTCAGGTCGGTTATAGCGTGTCCAAAGCCATGGCTTCCCATGCAGGTCAATACGCTGACAACAAACMCAGGGCGCAGGGTTTATTTTCAGCTGCGAGCGTGCACGTACACGTCGACCGTCCCTCAATTCTGCCCGTTTCTGCTATTGGGAGCAAGCGGCAGACGGAGACGAGAGAGAATCCTTCTCCCTATGCCGCTGATAAAGATTTCTCTTGCTTTTCAATGAGCTTATTTTGTAAGAGAAGCAGAAAAGCAGGAGAAGTTACAGGAACGATGCAGACAAAATAAGCAAACATTCGATCTGCTAGTATTTATGGCATGCTGCAAACGAGGCAGTATGTGAATCCAAGCTTGTCATGTGTTTTCTCAAAATGCAGTAAAAAAWAAAAAAAAAAAGGTAGGGAGAGCTTTTGATTTGCTTTAAAAGCTATGATTATATTTTCTATCATTTACAAAGCTGTTTGTTGTTAAGATGGTGACAGATGACATGCTACAAATGCTAATGGATAATTTAAAAATATTCAGAAAAACATTTTGTTTTCTTTAAATAAAACAAGATAAAGCAAAAAAATTGAAAGCTTTGCACTTATTTTTATTACTCCACAAAGAAAATTGTAATAGAAAATACGTATAGAGAAAGGTACATACAGCCAGCATGTAACAAATATTCTTGGTGTGAGTATRAGCAGCGTGTTTGCACATAAAAACACCTTGCCTATGTTGCTCCTGTAATGAAATCCTGCATGTCAGTTCTCAGACATAAAAGAACACCATTCAAAAATGGAGTTAAGCTGAAAATGAACTTTAACAAGTTATATAAGACTCAGAGAGAAATTAAGGGAAAGACCACTATTTTGAAAACGTCCCCAAGAAGYTGGAAATATTTCTTAATTTCCAGTTTTGAGTCAAATGGCTACTACGATTTCCTTCTAGAGAAAAAAAATCACACAAAAGGAGATTTTTAAAAAACTAAAGCTCAGGATTTAATTATGTGATATATACTCATTGATACTCTACCTAAAGTGACTATGAGAGCGGTCTCAGCGTTAATTGTGGGAGAACCTCGGAACATTCCTGCCACTTGGAGGCGGAGGGGCACCATTGCTCTAATTTTGAAGCAAATAATGAGAAAGCTGAAAAGTATGACTCCATATATTTGGAATCATCTTGTGGTAATCAAGGTTACAGTTCCTTATATGGTGTGGAGTACATGAAGCACACATTAAAAAAAAATAGAATATTAAAACTATGGGGTATAAAGAACTGCAGCTCCTACAAAAACCCCTGAACGCGCCCAACCAAACTCCCAGAAAAGCCCCTTTCTTTTTGTGCTGCCGTGAAATACAAACCTGGCCTGAAAAAACAGGACTGGCTCCGCACGTTGTTGCCTAAACTGCATAATTAAAAAGCGCAACCCTCCAGGAGGCCACGAGACCCGAACGAATTTCAAGCAAAGACAACGGACCGTAACGCAGCCTTTCAAAACCCTGCCAGCGACCAAAAAGAGCAAACAGGGAAAAAGTGGGAGAAAAGCGGGGGRAAAAAAAWTTAAAAAGGAGAAAAATCTATTTAAAGAAATCATATTTGTGTTTGAGAATCTGTCTCTTTTTTTCTCTCTGCCTATCTAAAGTTAGTCTGGCTTAGAGGATGCACTAACTTTCCCAATCAGTTTTACATTACAGCACAAGTCCAGAAATAGCTCCCAGCCGCCTTGGCCTCTAGCACGGTTGCCATGACAATGGAACCACAGCTCTATAAATAGCTCCTCAGCACCAAATCTTGTGAGACACATCTGGAATGGGGCCAGCCCAGCCCCAGCTTGACAAATAAAAATAGGCACAGGCTGTTTCAAAGGCTGGAAAGGTACAATGCATCTCYGCCCGGGCACAGAAACGAGCGGCGGGCACAGGAACAAGCCTGCTTGCTCCTTAGTACGAGATTTATTTGATAGTAACACAGGAAAGGAGAAAAGTTACTGTACGGCGCGCTAAACGTTCAGTCCTTCTCTAACGCCTATTTTTCATTTTTTCCCCGTTCTCTGCGGCAAAAGCGTACCGCTTTGGAAACTCTAACAATACAGTGTCTTGCCCACGGGACCATTAAAATCAGGCAAAAGAAAAGAAAAACGATCTTCAGAATTCCCCTTCTAACTATTTCTGTGGATTTTTGGCTTCGACCAAGTGCTTAAGCCAGCCCATGCGACGCCCCGACCAGCTCCGGACAGGGCTGCAGCTCCTGCTGAAATCACCGAGAGGCTCCCAAGGGCCTGGCAGGACCTGCCCCCTGTGCCAGCTCCGGCCTCGCCGTGAGCCCCCTCGGACCATCCCAGTCTCACCAACAGCCCCCCTCAGCTGCCCTGGCCTCGCCACAAGTCCCCTCAGGCCACCCTGGCCTTGCCAATAGCCCCTTTGGATGCCCTGGCCTCACCAATAGCCCCTTGGGCTACCTCAGCCTCACCAATAGCTCCCTCAGACGCCCYGGCCTTGCCATGAGCCCCCTTGGGCCACCCCGGCCTCGGAGCGTGGGCTGCACACGYGGCTCGCAGCAGCCTCGAACGGGGMGCCTTCAGAGACAAGAGGCAGAGCTGGGCAGCTGCGTAACCCAGCCCACCGCACAGGCGCTGCCCTGCAGAACTGCCTYGCAGGCAGGCATTTGCTTGCACTCCATGGGTGAGAAAGTGTCTTATTTTTAGCATGGGCTCTTGATCAACCCATTCAATTACATCCAAATTGTATGTGTGGGAACAGAATGTTATGTCAAAAATGTTATTCATGATTTTTGTCAATATTACCCAACAGTAGGCATTGGTATAATCCAGAGAATCAGTATTTTCAGCAGCATACGAAAGCCCTGGTTCTGGAACAAGCCTGAAGTTCTAAGACTTGCCTGTTTCACATATCCTCGAAGGAGTAGCTGATGCGATATAACACGACCAACACAGCTCTCAAAATACAAAATCTTTGTAGCTTTATCAGAAACCAATAGTGACTACAGATGGCAATCAAACTACTGCAACTATAATAAGCATTTAAGCCACAGCAAAATATCTTCCGTATGCCACAGACACCAGCATGCACGTTCAATGCAAACTGCTCCATCAGCCCACAGGATTCCTTTAGGTCCCTACATGGGTATTTTCATTTCTAAAGATTGTAGAGTAAGCTCCATCCAGGCTTAAATCTATATGGAAACTTCCCATCCCTTCCCCCTTCCTTTCACCACGTACTGTTTTGCTCACTGGCCCTTGAAACAATGTGTATTTCAGAAAGCAGCAATTTTCAAAGAAATCTTTTGGAAAGCATGCTTTATAACGTGTAATATAACATAATTCGGATTTGTTTTTGTAAAAGTACTTCAAGTTAGTTTAAGAGCCCATAACCAGCTGCAAGCTTTGATTCAGCTATACTAATTTTTTTTTTTTTTAGTATTAAAAAATATTTCTTTCTTTCCAAGAAATAAATTAGAAGCTAGCGTGCTCTCTCTCCTAGAAGGCACAAGCGTTTTGGGTCTGCACAGGGGAAACACGAGCAGGACCCCTCACCCGCCAGGCCGCGGGGATCCTTCCCGCTCCAYGAGCGGTTCTGGAAAGGGGCCTCCACAGCAGAGCATCTGCAACTCCTTTTTGCTTTCCACTAACCGGGGGCACACTTTTACCCAAGTTCTATAGCCATTTGTCTACAGCTAGGCTTGATCCCTAGGCTTTGCACGCCACTTTCCCACCTGCCCATAAACTAAACCAGCCCCAAACACTTCAGGCTTTTCCAGCTGCCTTCACTCATACCTTCCAAGCTTGTAAAATGGTATTTTCTCACTCTCACGACTACCAAAACAGAGTGATTAAAAACAACTTACTACTGTATGCCTGGGAGGCTTGCTCTGCCACACAAGCCCGTATATGTCCAACAACTCTGGAGCAGCCCCTCAGCCCGCCCCACAAAATTACCTCACCCAGTCGATAGGAAGCTTGGGCTGCTCCAAGGCCAAGGTTGGGTTCTGAAACGGGAGGTAACAGTATGAATGAGATCACCATGTCGTGATCTGATTCCAGGGAAAGCCTGAGGCGGGAACACCGTGTTAGCGAGCGCAGAGGAACATGGCGCAATCCCCATTTAACTTTTTGTTTCTTTACCTTTTTGAACAGGCAGCAAAAGAAGAATAAAAACACGGAAGAAAAAAACCAAAGCAAGACATAATTACCATTCACATAATAGAGTTTTTCATTTAACTTTCCTTCCTGCTCTTTTCTCCAATTTTTCTGTCTGAATCTTGGTTGGCTGAACCAGTAAGAGCCTCATCTCTAACTCATGATCCTGTTCCTTGGAAACCACTATCAAGAGCATATTCCCTTAGATATGGGCACACCATATCCCTTCTCCTCCACGATTTAAATATTTGCTTGTCTTCATATTTTCTTATGCCTGTTGTTTAAAATACAAAAAGAGTTGAATTAATCAGAAGTCAAAATATCGCCCATCTTTAAACAACGTGTGTGCTGTTGGCAGCAGAGTGACTGCAGAATGGTGCGTCCAGGCCGGGGAAGCCCTGGGACTATAACCCAGCTGAGAAGGGTGGGAGCGGGGAGTCAAGAAGAGCGAACGTGAGCGCATCCATCCACGGGAATGCCGGCGCGTCCGTCCGCGCGCTCAGGCTGCCAGCCTCGCAAAGCTGCTTCCGTGACCCACCTAAAGCGGCTTCTGCCTTTCCTGCTGCTTTGTGTGGTTTTAACCTTCTCTGTCTCTGTGATCTGGAAGAATCCAGCTCCTGTGTATGGCATCAAGGTTTGTATTTTGTATAGCTGTTTCACTGAGAGTTATGCACACCGAAACTAGGATTTGTAGTTTTATGCCAGGAATGAAAAGCTAAAGGTTGGTACTTAAATTTTAAGAAAATAATTAATTCTGTTTCCATGATCTTTATTACCTATAAAGCCGCCAAACTGAGATGACAAGAAAACAAGTATGGCTGATCACACAGCTCTGTAAGATGATACAGTGAATTTGTCCTCCTACAACACCAAACCCCTTCCAGTGTCTGTATTC